TGATTTCCATTGCCACTTTATAGTATAAGTACAAACATTATCTTTATTTCATATTTCTTTTAAAATTGCTATTAAGCTCTTGAATCGGCTGTGTAGTGGCGAGCTAGTGTCGATCGGGGTAGGACCACGCTAATGCTAATGTTGTGTTTTGTATAGTGAGTTAGAACCGGAGACACTTTTTACACGGGGCATTTCATCTTGATCCTCAGGGATGACAACGCATCTGAGTTGTTTTATTCTTGATCTAGGATAAATGTACCTATGTGCTGCAGCTTACCCTTACCATCGGGTGGATTGTGTGCTCTCTTTTCACCCTTACTCCATATATTTTATTTATTTTCCTATCAATCGTGGCTGCTATGACAAATATACCCCCATAAAAAATAAGGTGGCAACGATGGTGATGGTAGTGTAGGGGATGCTAAAACTTTTAGGTAGAGGTTAATTTGCTATCTTAATGAATTGACCTGGAAATATTTTACGCACGGACCCTGAGGCCTGACGAGAAAATCCTGGAGCCTAAATAAGAGACAAATAAGTTGCACTGGGGTATTATAAGATTATATGGGGTCCGGAAGGAAGGGAGGGGGGCTCGGTAATCCTCGACTCCAACAACTTGTTCTATCATTCTATGCGAGGGCGACGGGGAAATGGTTATATTAGAATATATACTAACGCTTGCCATCCCGTGGGTGCCGAAAGAGGCGACAGAGGAAAACAAAATGGGCAGTCGCATCTTCCTGATCATAATTCAAAATAATAAAAAACTGCCGTTGCCAACTCGTCTGCCAAGCTTGGCAACTATGGTAAATATCCTCCTTAAGAGGAAATCTATGGGGGCGAGACAAAGAAAAACCAAGCACAAGAAAGACGGTGAGCTGAAGGTAGGAAAATTTGGAATAGGACAATAGAATACAACGAGTTAACAGGTGGCCGGCTCTGTGGAGGATTAGGTACTCTTTTTGTAGAACTTTTTTTTCTCAGGAGTGTCACCACAGAAAGAGGAATCCAATATCTTTGCAATAACACACAATCTCATGGCTGTCAAAAGAGCAATGAAACGCAGTCTTTAATAGATAAGATAGTATTACTTCTGAACACACAGATTTCTTAATGTATGCGCGTTCGTAAAAAGCAAGTGCAAAAAGAATTTTCTTTTGAAAAAAAAAAGTGCTTTGCGTAAATATTTTTCATTAAAACGGATTGATTTTTTTGTACTTAAAGGCGCGTATCCACCGAAATTTTTAATAACTTTTGTGTTTCCAACTGTTTGCAGCTCAACAAAAAAAATCACGAATTTTGTTTCCATTGTTTCTACGTCAAAATTATAAGAAGTCGCCAACAATTTGAGAAACATTTTAGTTGACAACTAGCTGTCTCTACCAAAGTTTTGTTTTCAAAATGTTTTCAAACGACGATATTATGCAAGCAGCTGCAGTATTTATAGTTTTATGCAAAAAATGAACGGAAGGACAAATATTGGGTACGACCAAGCCTCAAAGGAAGAAAAGCACATGGAGGGATTGAGCTGTTAAATACTTTAAGAAGAGATGACTTGTTAGCAGGTGGCATTGAAGATGGAATAATCAGAAACTTTCTTCGTATAACTAATTTTGAAAGACTGGTAAATCGAATTGCGCATGCCTTAAGCGTATTAAAAAAATTACGTATAACATGATTATACCTATATTTTTTAAAGTAGTTTAAATACACACAAGTTTTCACTAATCACCTTTTATTTATTTATCAACAAGTTACAAATAACATTTTATAATAAAGCAAATACTTAGATCTTACCACCTCACTATAACGTTACATATTTAAGTGAAGAGCTAATACAAATCCAAATTTAAATGAGGTACTTAAACAAAAATACATTGCGAGTTATGACAATATTGTTACAGAAAAATTAATGTTCTACCATCCGTACTAGTTTGCACCTTATTACGGCAGACGTAGTCATTTTCCTCAGGGGCAACAACAATTATCACATCACTCAGTGTATAGTGTAAGCAAAACTATACGAAGTTTCATTTTATACTAATTTCCATTTTTTTACGCTACTAATAATAAAATTAATATAAAATATAACTAAAAATGTTTGTTTAATTTCTAATAGTTGTTATAACTGATCGTTCGTCCACGTGACAGACATGTTGGCTACTAATGTTTCCAACAAGCGTCTGAACAGAGCGAATAAATGTTTACGACAAACGTATCCCTTTAATGTTACTACAAAAAATGGAAACATTGTTCCCTTCATTTGCATACAATTTTTGTTGCCAACTTAAGGTAATTACAGAAACTTTTGTCACCAACACGTGTTGACAATTTTTATGTGGCAAATTTTATTTGGTGGATACCCCGCATAAGAGATTAAAGTTTAGATCCACGGCATAGCATCCACGGTCAAGCTACCCTATTCTTCCTAAGCGTGGGTGCTTAGGCTGCCTCGCATATTAGGGCTCAGGGGGGCAAAATCCCGCTTTATAGTAACACTGCATGGCCTGCAAACGGCCTCGATTTTAACGCCCCCATGCCGAATGGCTCAATTTACATTTAACCGATCATGCGGGGCGATCTGTTTATGACTTGGTTTTAGCATATGGATTGACACAACTAGTTACTTTGCCTACTCGGATTCCAGATATGAAGGATCATACACCTTCCCTGTCGGACCTTCTGCTGACCTCTCATTCGGATGAATATTAGGTTTCCGTCGATGCCCCTCCCGGTTCTTCGGACCATTGTCTGATTCGGAGTGTGGTGCCACTCAAGGTCCCCTCGCGGTTGCGTTTGCAGGCTGCCGCCTTGTTTCTTCCAATGAGGTTTTCGAAAAAAGTGAGCATTTTGTTTGATATAATATTCATATTATTTAATTGTCGTCGAACTGTTTCAGATTACAAATGTTATATCATTGATAATCATTTCCTTTGTGCTAGAACGTCTAATTTTTCTTCAGTATTAGTATTAATATTTTAAGGGTTATGTCGTGCATGCATGAAGAATATAATTAATCTTAAAGAAGCGAAAGAGGTTTGTAAGGATCATGACACTTGGCGATCTGTTCTCTCTGGCTACCTCGTCAGGGATTGTGCGTGAAGATAAGTAAGTAAGTAAGTAAGGGTTATGTTGGTATATTTTCTCACACGTTATAAAAAGTTTTCATGCTTTACTAAAAGTCCTCTAAATTTAGCTTAACGTTTTTCTATGATTTTTTACTTATTGAGTTTTTCTATAAATTAAATCTAAGAATAAAACTGATTTTATTAAGGTAAATTGTCATAAATGTCTGATAGATGTAGCAAAACGACGTCATACAGTTTTAAGTTTATACCGTAATAGTATCGTAGTAGAACGAAAAAGATCTTTTTTATATTTTTAGTTATTTTTTGTGCAAGAAGGCTGCTTTTATGTTTTAATAAACGTTTTTGGTTTTTAAATACTTACTAAGTATATTTTCTAAGGCAATAGGTAAATATATTTTATCATACGTTACCATAAACTTTTCATGCGTCACTTAATTTTAGCTGGAGTTTTTGTAGAATTGTTTTTTTTTGTTATTTTTTTTTCTATAAAAGAATGCTAATTTCGTTGCATTTAAGACTGATTTAATTTAAGTCAATTGTTACAAATGTCTAATAAATGTAGAAAAAAAGATATCAATTTTTTTTTAATTTTATTGTAAATAGTAAGTAAGTTTAATATATAAGTGTAATAGTAAGTTTGTCAATAGTAACGCAGTAGAATAAAAAAGTAAAATATTGATTACATTTTGCAATTAACTTTTATGTTTTTTGTGCAAGAAGGTTGCTTTTATGTTTCAATAAACGATTTTAGTTTGCAAAGAACTCCAATTAATTTTTATTTATTACAAAAAATCGAAATCATTTCTATTTAAGTACCCAAGAGAAAAATTTCAAGCCCGGCTAACGAAATTATCTTAATAACTTAAAAAATAGAAATTTAATATCGTGGATAATGACAGAAACGAAAACGACGATAAAATAAATTTCTTCTTATATAGGATATGTAAGTTAGTACTTACAAAACGTCGATAAAGGAGGTTCTTAAAAATCGTTTCACCCAGTTACCATTAAAAAAGTTAGACGTGTTTCCTCAATTCGCTCATTACCACTGCACCATCCACCAAGAGGTGTTATGTGCCAAAATCTTCGTTTTGAATTCGTCATGAAGATGGTCGTAAAGATAGTTAACTCTATTAGTGTTACCGTTTCGGCAAACACCGTTTGTTTCGGCAGCTTTTGCAAGATGAAGATGCTGAGTACGCAGACTTGATATTGTATACAGAAGTTCGATAGCTGAATTGATGCAAAGTGCTTGTAAGCTTTCTGAGTTTAATAAACGAATTCAAACAGTTCATGGCAACAAGAAAGAAAGATTATCTACAGTTGATTGATCCCTCATGGCTTGCAAATTTGGGGTTTCTGATATAACAATAAAACTGAATGAACTGAACCTAGAAATGCAAGGCAAAAATTGTCATGTTATGAACATGGTTGGATCAGTGAATACATTCAAAGCCAAACTGGACCTATGTTAATCCTATTTTCTGAGAAATTTAACTTCACACTTCCCAAATTAAAAGAAAATCTTCGATCGCATGAAAGTATGTGAAAAAGATATTGATACCATTTCGTTTGCCCCACAATTAGATACACTTTTGGAAGAATTTAATACTCTTTAGCAAAAATTTAAAATCTTGAGCCTATCTTGAAGTTATAAACCCATTCGCAGAAGGTGTGATGTTTCGGAAAAGATCAAAAACAATTTTGGCATTGTAGCATATTGTGTCGGTAGATAATAATAACGGTTTCTACGGCTACCCTGTGTTGTGTGAATAAATGATCGTTTACGGGTTCAGTGTGTTTAAATAAACGTTCCCCCGTATTCTTTGAATAGCAAGGACATTACAGTGGCGACGAGTTTATTTTGTGTATTAATAATCGATTAACCTACAGTAGAAGTCACGCGTTAAAATGTCTATCTATGGGAAAGTGCCAGTTTTCGATTGCAAAATAGATGAGTGGGTGGTACACGTAGCACAACTAAACAACTTCTTTATTGCAAATGGAATCGACGATATCACAGATGCTCAAAGAGTGAGAAGACGGGCAATTTTATTGAATAGCATGTCACAAGACTCATATCGTCTTACTCGTGATTTATTGTATCCAAATACGCCTGAATCAACCGATTACAAGGCGATTATTGCTGCGCTTGACGGCCACTTCGACCCAAAAAAGTGTATATACGCTGAAAGACAAAAGTTTTATTCGGCTAAAAAGGACCCTCACGAGTCAATGGTGGAGTATGCTGCTCGTCTTCGTGGACTAGCATCGGCATGTTGTTTTGGTACAGCTCTAGAGATGTGTTTGACGGATCGTTTTGTACTTGGTCTTGACACTGCGTCGGCCCGAGAGAAATTATTTAGAGAAGATCCCAATCAGCTAAAACTAAATAAGGCACTTGAAGTAGCTTGTGCAGTTGAAAGTGCGCAGCGTATTGTTTCCGCTGGCGATTCAGCAGAGTTAATTAAGTCTGAACCTGTGCTATATACGGACTCGCGGCGAAAAGCTACTGCAAGCGGCGGTACACGAGGCGGTCGCGCCCGTCGTGGCGGCGACGGCGGAGCCCCCAGGTGTAGTGTGTGTGGTGCGAGGTCACACGATACCTCCGTATGTGGCTATCGTCATCTGTCGTGCAATTTGTGTGGTGCAAAAGGGCATTTAAAAAGAATGTGTTCTAAGAGATACTACGTACATAACGAGATTACAACCAAAAAGGACAAAATTGTGAAAAAGCAGCATAATGGTATGCAGAATAATTACATTTTGGAAGGTAGTGATAGGGACGAATGTAATGATTTTTCACCAATTAATAATGTTAGAGATATAAATAATGAATCACGTATTAATACTATTTTATGTAAGGAAGAAAAACCGATATCTCTTGAAGTTATGGTGCGAGGTGTTACTCTTAGTATGGAGGTTGATTCCGGTAGTGGGGTATCAGCGCTGCCCGCGCGCATATGGTATATGTATTTCTCGCGAAACTTGTCACTCGGTGAGTCCAATAAAACTTTATATACATACAGTGGTTCTGCTTTAAGGCTATTGGGCATGTGTTACTTACCAGTCACATATAATAATGTAACGCATAATATAAAATTTTATGTTGTTGAAAATGGCCCGGTTCCCTTGCTCGGTAGGGACTTTATGACAAAATTTAATTTCGCTTTTATCTCATTAAATTATTGTTCAGTAGATAAAGAAAAATTTATTTTGTCGAAATATAAAACATTATTTTCTGGTGGGTTGGGCACGTTCAATAAATATAAGTTAACGCTACACTTAAAAGAAGGTGTCACACCAAAATTTTTTAAAGCTAGGCCGGTGCCTTTTGCGCTCAAAGATAAGGTAAGCGCAGAGTTGGACCGATTAGTGCGCGCTGGCATACTCAAACCGGTTTCTTATTCTAATTACGCGTCACCGATTGTTGCAGTATTAAAGAAAAATAATGACGTACGTATTTGCGGCGATTATTCTATGACGATCAATAAGGCCCTAATAATTGACTCTTATCCATTGCCCAAAATAAGTGAGTTATGTGCATCGTTACACGATTGTCGTTACTTTAGTAGGCTTGATTTATCAAATAGTTATAATCAGTTCCTTCTAGATGATGAGTCACAAAAATATACATGTATCAATACGCATAAAGGTCTTTTTGTTTATACAAGATTAGTGTTCGGTTTGTCAAATGCGCCAGCTTTGTTCCAGCGTGCTATGGTGCAACTGCTGCAGGGCATAGATGGCGTGGAGTGTTTCCTCGACGACTTGTTAATCGCGGCTCCGACCGCCGAATTACATTGGGAACGTGTCGATTTGGTACTAAATCGTCTAAGAGACGCCGGGCTAATGCTCCAGCGCTCGAAATGTTCATTCTTCCAAAATAAAATAGAATATTTGGGTTTTGTTATTGATCGTTTTGGCCTTCATAAAAATCCGGATAAAATAAAGGCTATTACACAGGCAAGGGTGCCAGGAAACGTCCGACAATTAAAATCATTTTTGGGTTTATTTAACTTTTACCGTAGCTTTATACCGCAAGCGGCGGTCATTCTTGAACCATTACATAATTTACTGCGAAAAAATATGAAATGGGAATGGACGGCGGAACATCAGAAATCATTCGATGCTATCAAAGACGAGTTATGTTCAAGTCGCGTACTGGCGCACTTTGACCCGCGGCAGCAGCTGGTTCTGACAGTGGATGCGGCCCCCGGCGGGCTAGGCGCGGTGCTCGCGGTGCGCTACCCCGCGGGTGCCGAGCGCCCGATCAGTTACGCTTCGCGTGCTCTCACTAAAAGTGAGCGTGGCTATAGTCAAATTATGAAAGAAGCGACTGCCATTATTTATGGAATCAAAAAATTCCATCAATATCTTTATGGCCGCCAGCAACCATTTATTTTGAGAACAGACCACAAGCCCCTCCTTTCTATTTTCTCCCCCGATAAAGGAGTTCCTCATATGTCCGAAGCGAGACTGCAACGGTATGCTTTATTTCTTGCTGCCTATAATTATAAAATTGAGTTCATTAATAGTGAATCTAATGTAGCTGATTATTTGAGTCGGTTTCCCATTGATTGTGATTCGTCGCAGGATACGGCGCACGTAGATGACGTCACCAGTTATGTTAACGCGCTAGCGGCTGCTGGCGCGCCACTGCCCGCTTCATTAGACGAGCTGCGGGCCGCTTTTCATAAAGATAAAGTTCTGTCACTTGTCATGCAATATGTGACCAAATCGTGGCCACGGAAAGTGTCATCAGAACTTTTGCCATATAATAGATGCCAGCATGAATTATATGTTGATAGCGGAGTTCTCATGAGAGGTCACAGAATTGTAGTGCCTACTGTTTATAGGGCTGCTGTGCTACAAGAACTGCATGCTGCGCACTTAGGAGTAATTAAAATGAAAATGATTGCTAGAGAACGCTGTTGGTACCCGGGTATCGACAGTGACATAGAAAACATGGTTTCTAACTGTGGTCGTTGCATATCCTTGCGACCGTCTCCTGCGAAAGCGCGCTTGGAGTCGTGGGGGTGGCCTGACTCTGTTTTCGAAAGAATCCATTTAGATTACCTCGGCCCAATTCATGGGAAGATTTTTCTTGTACTAGTCGATGCGCATAGTAAATGGATTGAATGCGAATTAATGTCAAATTTTTTATCAAAAGACCTTATCAATAAATTAAAAAATATTTTTTCACGTTTCGGCATTCCCAATAAAATAGTCACAGACAATGCCAAAACCTTTGTTTCGTCTGAATTTTCTAAGTACTGTACTGATAATGGCATAACTCACATTTTATCTCCTGCGTACTCGCCACAGAGTAATGGACTCGCCGAGAACGCAGTAAAGACTTGTAAGCGGTTTATTGTGAATGCTATCAAGGATTGTGGTTTTAAAGACTTCGCTAATCACTTAGATAACTATTTGTTTCACTATCGGAATACACCGCATTGTACGACGGGAGTATCACCTGCATCGCTTATGTTCGGTCGGAATTTACGTTGTAAACTTGATTTGATCGCTGTTAAGCGTTCAAATTTAGATCGAAAATCTCTAATACATAAAAATGTGTTAGTGAACCAAAATCGTCAAAAATTATATTTTGGTGGTAAAATTAAAGCATTTTCGATTGGGGAGAAAGTTTGGGTACGAGACTATCGAGCCAATCCCAAAAGACCAACATGGATCCTTGGCCAGGTCGTTGCACGCTTAGGTAAAGTTCTATATGATGTGGCGATACAGAGATCCGATATCATTTGGAGACGTCATGTGAATCAGTTAATGTCAGCCAAATCATATAACAGCAGTCGTGGTGAAACGGCGTGGACGTTTGAGGATATGGACGTTGGGAGCACGGCAGGTCCCAGTGCCTCTCATGATACACCTGCATCATTACCTCTCAATAGCCCAGGTGGTGCGCTAGCCGCACAACCACCGGGACCTGACGGCGGTGAGGCGGCACCGGTGCTGACTCACGCGGAGTCTGACATGGGAGACGTGTCCCCACCGCCTCAAACCTCCACGACCATGCGCACTCGATCTGGCCGCGCGATTAAACCACCTAAACGCTTAGTTCTATAATATTTATACTTACTAAATCTAATGTAAACATTTGTTTTGTTTATAATTGTTTTTTTTGTGTATTCTTAATAAACGTAGAGGAGAGGTGTTAAAGTCGAGTGATTAATGTCTTTTTTTTATTATACATAAAACAATGTATGTATTGTAGTATATGTGTTTTTGATTTTTTTATGCTAAAATTGTGTAAGCGCAATATGTCCATCAATTATACATAAAGCATAGTTGTTTGCTTCCCAAATAAAAATGTGGTACTTAATCATTAATTAGGTATACTACTTAAGCATTTGTTCTAACTGCTTATATATTGTATATTACGTTGTAATCTAAGTGTGGAGGGATGTAGCATATTGTGTCGGTAGATAATAATAACGGTTTCTACGGCTACCCTGTGTTGTGTGAATAAATGATCGTTTACGGGTTCAGTGTGTTTAAATAAACGTTCCCCCGTATTCCTTGAATAGCAAGGACATTACAGGCATAGAAAATTACGATGAATTAGAGCTGGAAATAATAACCATGAAGAACGACTTGAGCCTAAAATGATACATGAGGGACGAAAACTTTAGAATATTGTTGATAAAAATAAATATCCAATTTTAAGCTAGTTATCTCTTAAAATACAAGCCTGTAGTGCATCAACTTACGCATGCGAATCCATATTTTCAACAATGAAGATGTAGACGCAGAATGACAAATGTAAATTTGGACCATTGTTTGAGGACTGGTACTTCAAATAATGAGCCAGATTTCATCAAGTTGTCGGAAGAAATACGAGACCAAGGATCACACTAATAACTAGTGACTTATGTATTTGACTGCATGTATGCCTCATGTTATAAACATCCAGTTTCATCTTTGTATAATATTTTATTTTCGTTAACCATTCATGTGACCCTCAGGAGTAAATTATTTTAGAATGAGTCCTTTGTCTGGATAAGGTTGCCAACCCCTGTTTTAGGCCTTATAGTTTCAAAGATATCGATATGAGTCAGTACAGAGGTGGAAATATTCTATTATATTAATATTAAAATGGAATTGGAAGTGAAAGATTGGATTAATAAATAAAATTAACTAAATAAATCATATTTTTTTGTTGCTATCCAAGTAAAAGTGTCAAATGAGCAAACGTCTATCCGACAGTAATTATATGTTGTGGCCCGTGTGGGTCTATATCTAGATAAATGCGATTGAAATCAAAAAGATCTGCTTTTGTCGTTGCGTTTCACCCACGAGAACTGCTTCGTTACTAGTAAAATGATCTCTGGTTTTTGCCGCTCCCCTTATGAAGCACAGTACCATTATTCTCATAGATATCAGAAGTACAATAGACAGTTTAATTACTTGATCAACGTTTTAAAACCGATGCCGCTATTCACTCACACCGTAAATCTTTATAAGTCACAACCAAAAAAGAAAACGCATACCTTTATTCGCACTTATTTACTCAATATAGTAATATATAAATGTAACGGTTTGTTTTATAAATTTCATTGTTTCGGACAAGAATGATCCAAAGATACAGTTATTGTCTCATCGTTAAAAACCTACTCACTTGTTTATGACTTGAACAAAGGCTTTATATAAAGCCCTTTTGAAAACTAAAGGTACCTTATCAAGGGTCGTATTTAAGTCTTAATTATATTTTATAGCTGTCTTTTGAATTGTTCTATAGATATTGTCTTGACTAAAAAAAAATTACCTTCACATTGAGATTTTTCTGTCGTGGAGGCAGTTACAATATTGAAATTCCACAAGAACATATATCCAGAATTGGAATTTTTTTTTGTAGTCCAGACAAATAGTTTTTGAGGGCGTAAAGTAGCAGCCTTTAGGTTTTGTACAGGATAAATTAAGGAGAGTGTGGCACGGCTGCTCTCTATCCCTTTGTTGTCGATTTACCAAGCATTTAAACCAAACGATTTTTTTATATAGTATAAGGGTGACAAACGAGCACACAGTCCACCTGATGGTAAGTGGTTGCTGTGGCCTATAGACATCTACATTTATCCTCGATTACGATTCAAAATGCAGATGTGTTGTCACCTGTGAAGACTAAGATGGAATGCCTCGTTTCCAGTAAAAAGAGTCTCCGGTTCTCTACACTCACTATACGAAACACAGCAGCATTAAACTGCTATTTTACGCTGGTATTCTGTGAGAGCGTGGTCCTTTCCCGGTCAAGCCGACCCATTCGTGTTACAACTATACCAGAAATATAGCTGCAGCATGGATCTACTACGTATAAAATTTGCTTCTTCATTCTTTCGTCTTTTTTTCAATCAAGCAATCAAACAGCAGAATCAATTCAAACAACAGTCACATTGTTGGCATCTTGGATGACATCACTAGGTCCATTAGACGCTATAATAATACGAGTAGCATACGATTGGTCGCTCGGCGTTGAAGGCACATCGCGAAACGTCAAATCCAATAAGAGAGTAAATTGACTTCTAAAAAGCTTGGCGTACTCTGTAGAGCGGGACAGTATTTCATGCCTGCACACCACTTGCATTTTTACAAGCGCAGGTTCGGCCTCACATGAAGTACTGTTCTCATCTCTGGGCGGAGGCTCCACAGTGCGAGCTGCTTACACTTAACCGCATAGAGAGCAGAGCGGCTTGAATCGTCGACGACCGAGTTCTCATTGATTGGCTCGATTCACTGACACTGTGTAGAGATATTACATCCCTTTGAATTTTCTATCGTATTTACCACAGGGAGTGCTCTGAGGAATTGTTTTGATTAATTCCAGCCACCAAATTTCACCAATACACATCGCGACAAAACTCACGTTACCATCCACATCATTTGAATGTTTGGCGGTCCACTACCGTGCGATTTATTACGAGTTTTCTCACAAGTCATTTTCCATCGACGATTTTTATGGACCGATACAATTTAATACCACCGGCAATGCATCCGCAATCTATCTCCTGGTGTTGTAGAATTATATTAAAATTTTAAAAAGAAGGCTCTAAAATTTAAAAAGGAATCTCAGTTGCGCGTGGGCGCTCGTTGCAGCTAGATGCGTCGATTTATCGTTCAATAACGTACTCCTAATTGTTTTAGCAACGCGCTTCGCACGTCCGTGCGCTTTTTTTGACCATGTTAACAGTGAGGTCATTTAATTATGAATACGTTGAATTATATGCAAAGTGAGGTGGATGTGGTAAATAGTGTGTTTACCGAAAACATTGAAAATGGGATTACAATGAGCATGGAGGATATTCAACAGATGTGTAATACAGAATATAGAAATGACATGTTTTTAGAGAGACCCTCAAAGAAAGAAAGGGAAGGGCAAATAGACATAATATACGCATAGAGGATAGTGTGTTTACGAGAATTCCGGAAGATAAAATTGACTTGCGTTTGATATGTACAGAAAAACTCCCGAAAAAGTTTGGATTGGCAAAAATGTTAAAAGCATAAAGAATAAAAAACGTCACGAAAATTAAATACATAAATACCTTTAAGGTATTGATTCATTTTAATAGCGAAGTGCTGAGTCTTTTATACAATGCAAGAGATTTAACGAGAATGGTTTTAAATGTCAAAAAACTTTAGAAATTAATCAATCATATGGGGTCATTAAAGATATTGATCTAGAATTGGGCGAAGAAGAGATTACAAGGAATTAATAGTGAAACTTTGATTTTAGCGGTAAAAAGGCTAAAGCGAAAGAACACTTACGACGGTCACTGGGAGCTGAGCGAATCTGTAAGAATATGTTTTAAAGGGCCATCATTACCGTCGTATGTTTACATCTATGAAACTAGGGTGAAAGTGAGTCCTTACACTTACCCAGTGATAAAATGCTCCCATTGCTGGCGATTTCGTCACTCGATTAAAATGTGTCCTTCTCTAAAAGTAATCTGTCCCAAATGTACAAAAAGTCATCCTAACTGTGAAACGACAACTTTCAAATGCAATAACTGTATGGGAAAACACATGGCAAGGGCTAAAATTTGTCCTGTCTTCTTGAAGGAGAAACGAATTAGAGAACTCATAGCAGAATTTAACTGTTCTTTCAGAAAAGCCCTTATGCTATATGTCCCACCGTCGCCTCGACAACCGAACATGAAAAATGGTCCGCCTCTATTTACTCCACCTACATCTAAAAATGAATCCTTACAACAAGATAAACAGATGCCCGGGCCTAGTGATGTGCATACCTACGCCAGTGTTACGAAAGCAACCCCGGAAAAAACGAGGAAAAGTTCGATGACAGAGAAACGAAGAAAAAGAAGGAAGTCTCTCAAAGAACAGCAAGGAAGTATACCTGAAGTTGTAACTAAAGTGAAGAAGTGAAGAACTAAATGATGAGAGTCGATCGAAATATAAAGAACTAGTGTCTTGGAAGTTATTGTTTAAAAAACGAAAAGAAAAGCAGTTCATGGGAAGACAAGATAAAAGGTTGTGGAAGTATAATATTGGAGGTGCTAATATCATTAGTGTTTCAGTTTATTGCAGATCATCCTTGTTGCAATTTCATAAAACAGTTATGAACAATAACAACTCACAATCCCATATACATGTGCTACAATGGAATGCGCAAAGCAATCGACGTAAATGTAAAGAGTTGGAAGCGCTATTAAATCAAGATAAAATAAATATTGCTATTATAAGCGAAACTTGGTTAGACCCAGTTAGTCACTGTGCACGACGCAAACATAGTAATACGTCGAACGAAATGACTTACGGATTGCTTGTCGTAACCATCGCTAGTTGAACAACCTAGGGACGGTGGGCGGAGCCATGAGGATGTTATGATCGTCGGGCCGCGCTCACGGTTCCACAACTACCGGTGGTTGCCCACAGCAACGCGGGAAACAGTCGTAGCAATAATATTGAGAAATATAGCTTTTTTTTAATAAATAGTATTGTAACTATGTAATAACTCTCGCAATAAAAGCACCGAACAACTGGCGAGAGTTAACATAGATTTAGAATATAGAAATTAATTAATGCCAAATTATAGAGTCAGTATTATATGTAAA